AAAAAATTGGAAAAATCTAATGTCCCTAATCCATTATCAAATATGGATTTTAAAAAGTTTCAGTTTCCTACTAAAGTCAGTCATTTTGATAGGTAAATCATTATGGGAGGTAAAAATGTTTTAAAGACATTTTTTTCCTAACACACAAAACTGATATTTACTGTCATATTCTCATTCTCCCCAATAAACATGTATACATTATTTTTTTATATTTATTTTTTTAGTTGTAGTTGGACACAAAACCTTTTATTTTATTTATTTGTTTTCATGTGGTGCTGAGCACATGCTAGGCAAGCACTCTACCATCGAGCCACAACCCCAGCCCATATATTATTATTTTTGAAGACTAACAACAGGATTAATTTGATATAAACAACACATCTCAATACCAATGGAAATTCCAACCCAACTACTCAGCAGGCTGAGGCAGGGGGATCTCAAGTTTGAGGCCAGCCTAGGCAATTTTGCAAGACTTTGTCTTGAAATAAAATTTTAAAAAATAACAATAAACATTAGGGGATGGGATGTAGCTCAGTGGTAGAGTACTTCCCTATCATGTATGAAACCCTGGGTTCATTCCCAGAATCAATTTTTTTTGCTTATTTATTTATTTATTATGCCATTATACATGAGCTCTCTTATTATCATTATTTTTTGCATTACAATTCTTAATACACCTTTATACCACAATTTATCATCCCTGATTATACATAATGTATGTTGACACCAAATTCACATCTTCACAAAATGCTTTTTTTTAAGAGTTTGAATATATAATAATAAATCTCCAACTCATGGTACAGATTTCATTTTAAGTGATTTGATAAATTGGATATTTTATTCTTAATCTACATAGCTTTTATAAAATTTTAAAAGCCACTAAACTAATACAACCCAAAAAAAGTTGATTAAACCTATTTTCTGGTTTGTAGTTTTAATTAATTTCCCCTAGAGTAGTAATTAAAACTGATACCATACTCACTTTATTGAGTTGGGAGTGGGAGGGTAAGGGATAATGTGCTTAGGTTAACTATGATTAAAAACTTAATTTCAGTTCTTCATTTCACTTAGTTTATATGTAGGCAGGGCCTTAATGATAAGATGGTATAAATAATAACTGAGGATATTTGGCTTTTAAAGTAAAGTATTGTGGTTTAAAGGATGTTCCATTAGTAGCATGATTTTTAGACTAATCTATATAGTCAAGGCAAATCACAAACTTGTATGTCATTTACTTTCTAAAGTGTTTCATTTGACAATGGTTAGTGTTATAATGGTTCTTTTTTTACTTGTGTTATAGCACAATTCTTTTTTTTAAATATTTATTTTTTGTTTTAGGTGGACACAATATCTTTATTTATTTTTATGTGTTGCTGAGGATTGAACCCAGTGCCTTGTGCATGCCAGGCCAGTACACCACCACTTGAGCCACATCCCCAGCCTGAGCACAATTCTTATTGACATTGAATTTTTAAAATGAATTATGCTAAAAATACTTAGATTTCTACATGTATTTGTTAAATATTTCAATTGCTAAATAAAATGTTTTTTCTTGCTCTCCACATTGACAACAGTAAGTTGACCTACAATGCATCTACTGTCAATGGTTTTAAACAGTTTTATATTCATTGTTTTGAAAGTTTTTAAATTGTTTTTAGTAGAGAACTTTATTTTAAGGTCTTTAATACAATTCTCTAATATTCTTGAACTTAATCATTTAACTGTTTTAGTATTTAAGGTAAAGATTCTTAAAGTTATCAAAAACTAGCTTATGATAATTACATGGTAATATTTAGGTTTCTATACTATGAAGAAACAAATTTTTAAGTACTTCATTTGATTACCAGAATGAGAATTCACTTTGGCTTCTATTTTATGCATTTATAAGTTTTTTTCCTTAATTAAATAGAAGCTTTTGAAACTTCTGTATTCAATGCTAAATGCTAAGGAAAGGGGAGTATAATGGAGTGACTTTGCCATTAGCATACAGTCATTACAAGAAACCAATTAGAAGAAGATTTTATTTATAAACATAATTCTTTTACATAGTATGTATCATATGCTTCATTGTTACTTTTACAATAAGATATTCAACTAGTTTTTATGCTTCAAGTACTAGAACATGAAATATTGTGCTTCAAACAATGAAATACAAGCTTAAGAACACATTTAATAGCTGGGCACTGTGGCATGCCTGTAATCCCAGCAACTATAATCCCAGCATTTCGGGAGGCTGAGGCAGGAGGATTTCGAATTCAAAGCCAGCATTAGCAATGGCGAGGAGATAAGAAACTCAGTGAGACCCTGTCTCTAAATTAAAAAAAAAAAAAAATACAAAATAGCGCTGAGGATGTGGCTCAGTGGCCAAGTGTCCCCTGAGTTCAATCCCTGGTATCAAAAAAAAAAAAAAATGAAGAAGAAGACATTTAATAATAAATTACTGGAATGTATATTACCTATAATTTGGGAAAGTTTGGATTGCCTTGAAATGATCCAATTTTCACGTTCTGATTTTGACTATTATCTTTTACAATTCCCAGATATATTCTAACATTTACTTTATGCCAGGTATTATACTAAGTGATAGTTTATGTCAGCCTATTTCTCCTTTTTAAAGATAGCTAGATGGGTCTGGGGTGTGGCTCAGTGGTAGAGCACTTCCCTGGCATGTGTGAGGCACTGGATCCAATCCTAAACACCACATAAAATATAAATAAATAATAAAGTTTTTTAAAAGTAAACAGTTTAAACTCATCTTTTAAAAAAAAAATAGCTAGATGTAGGGCTAGGTGTATAGCACAGTAGTAAAGCACTTGCCTAACATGTGTGAGGCCTTGGGTTTAATCCCCAGTACTGAAAACAAATAAATAGAAAATAAAAACTGCTGGATGTAAAAAAAAAAAAATGACATCTATAACTTGATTTTCTAATCAAATGCCATTAAAAACAATTATGAATAGCCAGGCATAGTTGCACATGCCTGAAATTCCAACAAGTCAGCAATCAGCAGGCTGAGATAGGAGGATCAGAAGTTTGAGGCCAGCCTGGGCAATTTAGTAAGACTCTGTCTCAAATAAAAAATACAAAAAACTGGGGATGCAGCTCAATGGTAGGAATGTCCCTAGATTCAAATCCCGTCTGGTTTGCTTCTCTCTCTCTCTCTCTCTCTCTCTCTCTCTCTCTCACACACACACACACACACACACAGAGTTATGTGGAGGTATAAAATAACATAGATGGCAATATCAACATTTTTTTCCTTCAGTACTGGGGATTGAATCCAGGGCCTTGTGTATGCTACACAGGTACTCTACTATTGAGCTATACCCTCAGCCCTTTATTTTATTTTGAGACAGAGTCTTACTAAATTGATCCTCTTGCCTCCACCTCTGGAGTGGCTGTGATTACAGATGGGCGCCAGTGTGCCTGGTCAAAATCAACCTGTATATCTATGTGGTGCTTCAGATTGACTACAGGGCCTCATACAATCTAAGCATATACCACCGAGCTATTCCCCCAGCCCCAAATCAACTAGTAAAGGGCAATCTTTCTCATACATTTAATAAGGCCTAAAAATATTACTATCCAGTGGAATATATAACATACTATGACATTTAGTTACCAAGCAAAGATTAAATTATGGCCCAAATATTCTGGTTATACCAGAGAAATAAGTACTAAATTTAACTAAGTACATTTCCACCAAAAAAAGTTTAATTAAAAAATTTCAGTATTAGTTATTTAGAAAATTCTCTGCCATGGATCAGATTACTTTCTGATATCAGAAAATGAGGTACAATAATTGATAATATATAATAGTATAAGAAAACATTATGAGTAGAAATAGCTTCATTTGAAGACCTGAAAATTGGTAATCCTGAGTTCTTCATAGAAATTCTCAGAAGCTCAGGATCTCCTAGGTGCCATATATGAATATAAAGGAAAGAAATATATACTTTTCTGAGTATATATTATTTACAAATAATTCCATAATAGTAACAAAGTTTAGATCCAGAATGTCCACCCGAGGGCCCGGGTACTAACAGCTGGGTTTTCACCCTGTGGTGCTACTGGGACATGGTGGAACATTAAAGAGGTAGGGTCTATGGGACTGGGGTTGTGGCTCAGTGGTAACTCGCTTGCCTAGCATGCAAGAGGCACTGGGTTCGATTCTCCACACCACATACAAATAAATAAAATAAAGGTCCATCAACAACTAAAAAATATTAAAAAAAAAAAAAAAAGAGGTAGGGTCTAGTAGAAGGAAGTTAGGTCATCAGGGATATTAGGACCCCGCCCCTTCCTAGCTACTTCTATGTTTCCTCGTTTTCTGCTGTGAGATGAACAGATTTCTTCCATTGTGTGCTTCCGGCATGATGTACTATGTTGCCCCAGGGCCAACTGATCATGGATTGAAATCTCTGAAACCATGAACCAAAATAAATCTTTTCCCTTAGTAAGTTGATTATCTCAGGTACTTTGTCATGGTGACAGAATGCTAACTAACACACAAAGAGAAAAGCAAATTGGCCTATGACAACACCTGTGTTTCCAAATATCCTAATTCCTGAAACTATGTGGGGAAGCATTTTTCTTAGTTTCTCAATTGTTATGGTACTTGTCTTCAAGTTTTGCATTTCCTATTCTTGCTTCTTAAACATAGGTGAGGCACTGGGCTTGATTCTCAGCACCACATACAAATAAATAAAATAAAGTTCCATCAACAACTAAAAAATATTTTAAAAAAAGAGGTAGGGTCTAGTAGGAGGAAGTTAGGTCATCAGGGATATTAGGTATAGGTCTTGGCCTTCTTTTCTTTATAAATAGTACATGCATGACTCACACATTTACATATTTAAGCACAGCCTCTCTTTCCTGAGCTTTAACCCCATATTTCTGTCAACCCTCTAGAAATATTCTCTGGAATATTTCACTATCACCTCAAATTTTACAAATCTGATCTCTGAGCTCATTTCTGCTGCAAAACTAATTTAACTTACCCTATGGATATCCCTTTTCAGTTCCAATTTCCCAGGTTCAACGAATTGGAATCTTCCCTGGTTCATGCATGAAATACTTCATATGATCTGTTTTACCATGTGTAGGGAGAGAATAAAAAGGGAAGAGAAGAAAATAGTGTTTTAAATCCAAGTTAACAAATTTGGCTTTTAGTCTACAAGCAAAACGGAGCAATGAATAATTTTACATCACAGCCATGCTTGAAGGTAACTGAATCTATAGGTTGGCAGGAGGGTGATGTTAGACAAAGGGCATCAATGAGAAGTACTTCATTCCTGTCAACCAAGGAATAATAGTAAGAACTTTGATTAGGTGTAGGCAGTGGGTAGGGCGATCGGACAGATGCTGGATTTACTGCAGGATTAGAATCGACAGAACTTGGCCACTGATAGAAACAAAGGTAGGAAAGAAAGGGCATCCAATTTAGACATTAAAGTTTCCAAGTTGGTTGTATTAAGAGGCGCGCATGGTCTGGGAAATCATTTGGGAGGGAAACGGTCGTTAGGTTTGGGAAATTCAGCATTTGTACACCTGAGGAACATTTGAGAAGAAATACGCGGGATTCTTGGAGGTAGCTGGGCACCTACACTGCAGGTGGAGCAAAGTTTGAATGTTTCCGCAAAAACATGTACCAAAGGGACTACAGAAATCTTACTACCAAGGCTTGCGCTGGCGGGAGTGAGATGTGACATCGCTCGAATAGTCCCGTAGTGTCTGCTCCCCGCGCCTGCTCCTCCACAGATCCCGCCAGCATTTCGGAGGTCGCCTTTCCCGCCCCTCCTGGGCATCCTAGAACTTGCGTTTGGCCCAGCCACCATGTAAATAGACAAGGGCATAAATAGACCGCGGCATCTGCTGCTTAGTCACTAGTAGTCTACCTGCATATCGCACCTTCTTTGGAAGAAACGGGGCGTGGCAAAAAGTGGTGAACTCTAGATATCGCGAGATTTGCCTGCAACCTTTTCTTTTGCTTGCCGGAAGCGGAAGTTGAGTGGTTGCGGGATTCCAGCAAGAGAGTCTCCGTTACCTAAAAGAGCCGACGGGGTCCGGCGTTCTCCTGTGTGGTGGGACTGGAAGTCGCCACCTCCGCGAGGCTGGCCGGCGGGATCTGGACAGACACAGCCTTTGGCGGGTTAGTGGCCCTTCTTGGGAAACCAGGAGAAGGGAAGCGGGCGGAGCTGTGTGGCCGGCGAGCTGTTTTCCATGTGGCTAAACCGAAAGCCACTTCTCTCACGGCTTCTCTAACGTACAGCTAAGATGCTTAGGGATGGAGCAGATCTGTCGGAGCCTTGGTAAACAACCTATGATGTGCTTGGAGGTCAGACTGAACAAACGCAGTTCAATCAGTTTACCTGCGTCTCTTCACTAAGCTTATCTCCCAGAGCAGCAAAAGCGCATCTAGTTAGTCAATACCAGGGTTTGTCGCTTGCATCGAAAGTTCTGTGTGGTTTTATTTGTGGTGAGTGAATGAGTCTTGTTCGAATACAAATCTGAACGGCTGTAGCCTACCCCCGCCCCAACAAAAAAGGAATACCAGTTGTGAATGCTAGAATTGGCCTGTTCGTTCTAAAGGCCCAGCGAACGAGTGTTGTAGCCTCTTCTAAATTCTTCAGGGTAAACGCAAGTAGCACCCTTTGGACACAGCGTTGGAAGTCTTCAGAGCACTTTTAATCCCACCTTTTCATTGACTATGGCCCTTATATACCTAGCCCTTCCGTCTCCATCTTTTGAGAGTTTTCTTCAAGATTTTTTTTTTACCCCCTCAAAGATTTAAACAAGCTAAACATTCAGCAGTACAGCTGCCTCACACCCGTGGAATGGATCAATTAAAAATTCTGCTAAACTGAGTGCTGTGACGCATACCTGTAATCCCAGAGACTCAGGAGGCTGAGACAGGAGGATTGCAAGTTTAAGGTCAGCCTCCTATCTCAAAATTAGGGAAAAAGTGTAGAGGCAGGGGAGGCTGGGGTACTACATTTCTACTGGTAGAGGCCTGGAATTGAATCCCCAGTACAAAAAGGGGATGGTATTTGTTTACTTGTGTTTTGGGAGATCTGTGAGAGAACACAAAAATAGAGTAGCACATTTTCCTTGCCTTACCATTTTATTGCCTATATGGATTAGGTATAAGTCATCTTTATATAGTGATTTCTGTGGTTCCTATGAATTTGTTTTAAAATTCTTTTCTTGGATTTGGGTATTTGACCTTAGTTTGCCAATCCGGGATGCATTGAAAGTATATTTGATAAGGCATACTCTCTATGAACAATAGCCTGAAAGGTAGGACATCTAGATTTTGTTTCTTGTAACCAAACAATAATTCTGGTTTAATTTTGTCAGGATGAGGGTAGCATTATTAAATATGGATCCCCCCCCAACCACATGGCCAGGTATTGAACCCAGGTGCATTTATCCATTGAACCATATCCCCAGCCATTTTTATTTTTTATTTTGAGACAATATCTCACTAAATTGCTGAGGCTGGCCTCACACTTGTGATTGTCCTGTCTCAGCCTCCAGAGTTGCTGGGATTACAGGCCTGCACCACCATAACCAGCTATAAATGGGGGGCCTGGCGAAAACACAAACTAATGAAGAAGCTGTTTTCCAATAAAACATTTCCTTGTCAAAAACTTTGTCTAGAAGTTGAGTTAATACAAGAAGAAAGAGGGAAAAGGTCTGGTTTTAAAGTTTTAGTATGCTGTTAATACCTCAAATCATAAAATTTGTTTTATAAGTCTTTTTTTTTTTTTGAGATGGATTCTCCATATGTTGCCTCGGCTGGTTTGAACTCCTGGATCAAATGATCCTCCAGCCTCTGCTTGCCAAGTACTAGGATTATAGCATGGTTCTACCTCATCTGGCAGATTTTAGGAGTCTTGAAGCAAAGAGCAGAAACATGAAGTTTGGATTAGAAAAGGTAGGGGATGGAAATGCTAACAAGTACTTGGTCAAAGAAGACTAAAGAAAGTGAGCTTTTACCTTGTTTTATCAAGGATTAGACCTTCTGTAGGCTAAGCCAAAATATTTGCCTATATTTAGAGACTGAGAATATGGGTGAAGAAATACCACCTGTTAAATTAATTCATAATTGGCCTAGAAAAGTTAGCTGATATAGATTTCAGTTTTTATAACCATTAGGCAATATCTTTATTTTTTTTTACTTTTTTTTTTTTTTTAGTTGCAGATGGACAGAATACCTTTATTTTGAACCCATTGCCTCACACATGCTAGGAAAGCCCTCTACCATTGAGCCACAACCCTAGCCCCAGGCAGTATCTTTATTGTGTCATTTGTCACAGGATCTGGAATAAGAATACAATGGATACCTTTAAAAAGTAGTTATCCTAAATTTTAATAGCTGTGCATCTAAATGCTTTTCTCCTTGCACGGAACCCCCCCCCCCCAATCTCTCTTACATTTTATATATTTCCCCTTTTTTTATTGGCTCTTTTTCTTTCTCTTATAAACAATTATAGGTATTTTATCCTGGGTAACATAAAAGAGATAAGCTGGGTGCAGGGGTTCATGCCTATAATCCCAGAAGTTTGGGAGACTGAGACAGGAGGTTCATGTGTTCAAAACCAGCCTCAGTAAAAGTGAGACAGTAGGCAACTCACTTAGACCCTGTCTCTAAATAAAGTACAAAATAGGGCTGAGGTTGTGACTCAGTGGTTGAGTGCCCCTGAGTTCAAGTTCAGTTCTGAGTACAAAAAGGGGGGAGGGAATCTCATTAACCCTTTAGCTACTGGCCTTTTTTTTTTTTTTTTTTTTTTAAAGACAGGCTCTCACAAAGTTGTCTAGGCTGGCTCCAAACTCCTGGACTTAAAGGATACACCTGTCTCACCTTCCCCAATAATTGGGACTACAGTTGTGCATGTATCACCACTTTGAGCTTGTCTTTTTTTCTTCTTTTTTTTACCTAGTCTTCTTAAGCTTTGTCTACATTCTGTAGATCTCTAGTTCCTTACCTTGCAATTGTGTAATTCTCTATCAATTGCAGTCCTGCATCAATCCCAGCTACTCTAAAATAATCAGCTACTTATGGCCAGATTTAATTAATTATTTTTGTTTTTTCTATCACTGTATTACCTGGCCACTTTTGACCATTCTTTATTCTTTTCTTTGTGTGATAATCTCTTCTGGTTGGCCTCTCTCTCTGTGTGTTCTCTTATCCCTTCTTTAACTTTGTTCTTTAAATGTTCATGTTCTCCAGGGTTCTCCTTAACACAGTCTACATTTTCCCTAAAGAATCTCATCAATGATCGTATATCTGGAAGATTTAAAAAAAAAAAAAAAAAAAACCTCCATTGAAAGACTATTAGGACTAATAAATTTGGCAAAGTAAGGTGAAGGATGTAGCTCTGTGGTGGAGTGCTTGCCTAGCATGTGTGAGGCGGTGGGTTCAGTCCTCACCACCACATAAAAATGAATAAATAAAATAAAATTGTGTCTATCTACAACTAAAAGTTCTTAAAAATTTGGCAAAGTATTAGGTTATAAAATTGACATACAAGAATCAATAGCATTCCTATTATAACAATGAATCTGCTGAGAAAACAATCAAGAAAACAATTCCATTCATAATAGCCTAAAAAAGAGAAAGAAAATACCTAGGAATAAATCTAACCAAGGAAGTGAAAGACCTCTACAATGAAAACTATAGAACATTGAAGAAAAACATTGAAGAAGACTTTGGAAAATGGAAAGACTTCCCATGATCTTCATGGATAGGCAAAATTAAAATTACTAGAATGACCCTATCACCAAAAGCAATACACAGATTCAGTGCAATCCCCATCAAAATACTAATGACATTCTTCACAGAACTAGCAAAAACAGTCCTAAAATTCATTTGGAAGAATAAAAGACCAAGAATAGCCCAAGCAATTCTAAGCCAAAAAAGCAGTGCTAGATGCATCACAGTGTCTGTCTTCAAATTAAGCTATGTAGCTAACAACCTGCATGGTCCTGGCATTAACACAGACCAGTGGTGCAAAATAGAATATAGACAAATTCACACAAAGGCGCCAAAAACATATTGAGGAAAAGACAGCCTTTTAAACAAATGGTACTGGGAAAACTGGTTATCCTTATGTAGAAGAATGAGACTAGTACCTTACCTCAAACTGCACAAAAAATCAACTCAAAATGGATGAAAGATATAGCCATTAGACCAGAAACTGCAATAACTAGTAAAAAATGTAGTAGAAAATGTCACACTCCAGCAAATAGGCACAGGCATTAACTTCTCAACAGGACCCCCAAAGTTCAGGAAATAATGCCAAGAGTTAATACATGGGGTGAAATCAAATTAAAAAGGCTTTTTTAAAATTCTTTTTTTTTTAGTCATACATGGCAGCAGAATGAATTTTGACACATAATACATACATGGAATGTACATACATCAATCATATTGTCAATTCTATTCTGCTGCCCTTCCAATCCTCCTTACTCCTCCTCTCCCATCCTTACTCTCTATCCAATCTAATTTGACACACTTTTTTTCTTTTTCTCATTACAACATCATGTGTGTAATCTGTATAACAATGAGGTTTTCCTTCCATCTTATGTGCAACTCCCCTTCTCCCTCTTTTTTCCTCCCACCTCTCTTCCCTATTTAGTGGTAGTCGTCTTCTCATGCTCTTCTTCCCTATCCCATTTGAGTCACCCCCCTTATCTCAGAGAAGACATTTGGCATTTGTTTTTTAGGGATTGGCTAACTTCACTTAGCATAATCTGCTCTAATGCCATCCATTTGCCTGCAAATGCCATGATCTTGTTATTTTTTTAGTACTGAGTAATATTCCATTGTGTATAAATGCCACATTTTTTAATCCATTCGTCTATTGAAGGGCATATAGGTTGGTTCCACATTCTAGCTATTATGAATTGTGCTGCTATAAACATTGATGTGGCTGTGTCCCTGTAGTATGCTCTTTTTAGGTCTTTTGGGTATAGTCCAAGAAGGGGAATAGCTGGGTCAAATGGTGGTTCCATTCCCAGCTTTCCAAGGAATCTCCATACTAATTTCCAAATTGGCTGCACCAATTTGCAGTCCCACCAGCAATGTATGAGTGTACCTTCCCTCCCCCCCACCCTGCATCCTCGACAGCACTTGTTGTTTGACTTCATAATGGCTGCCTTTCTTATTGGGGTGAGATGGTATCTTAGAGTAGTTTTAATTTGCATTTCTCTGATTGCTAGAGATGGTGAGCATTTTTTCATGTATTTGTTGATTGATTCTATATCCTTTTCTGAGAAGTTTCTGTTCAAGTCCTTGGCCCATTTGTTGATCGCGTTATTTGCTTTTTTGTTGTTTAACTTTTTGAGTTCTTTGTATACTCTAGAGATTAGAGCTCTATCTGATGTTTGAGGGGTAAAAATTTGTTCCCAAAATTAAAAAGCTTTTACACAGCAAAGAAAACAATTAGGAATGTAAAGAGAGGACCTACAGAATAGGAGAAAATCTTTGCTAGCTCTCTCTGACAGGATTACTATCTAGAATGTATAAAGGACTCAAAAAACTTAACACCAAAAAATAATAATAATCCTATCAATAGATGGGCAAAGGAGTTAAACACACTTCTCAAAAAATGAAATACAAATGGCTAACAAATACATGAAAAAATGTTCAACATCATTAGCAATTAGGGAAATGCAAATTAAAACTATACTGAGATTTCATCTCACACCAGTCAGGATGGCAATCATCAAGAATGCAAATAATAATAAATAAGGTAGAGGATGTGGAGAAAAAGGAATACTTTTACACTGTTGGTAGGACTGTAAATTAGTTCAAGTATTATGGAAATCAGTATGGAAGTTCTTCAAAAGACTAGGCACAGAACCACCAAATAACCACTCCTTGGTATTTATCCTAAAGTAACCATACTATAGTAAGTCATGCATACCCATTTTTATAGTAGCACAGTTCACAATAGCCAAACTATGGAAACAGCCTATGTGTTCATAAGTGCATGAATGGATAGAGAAACTGTGGTATATATACACAATGGCGTCATTCAGCCCTTTAAAATGAAATTACTTCATTTGTAGGAAAATGGGTAGAACTGAGATCATTTTGTCAAGTGAAATAAGTCAAACTCAGAAGGTCCAAGGTTGTATGTTTTCTCTCATGTGGAAGCTAGAGAGAAAAAAAGAAAACAAGTGGAGATGAAGGGATCTCATGAAAACCAAAAGGAGATCAGTAGAAAGTTGGAAAGCAGGCGGGGCATGCTGGGGAATAATGTTGGCCAATTTATATTGTTACGTTGTATGCATGTACAAATAGGTAACAACAAATCCCACTATAATTCATCAATAAAAATGCGGGAGAAAAATAATCTCACTTATTCTTGTAACATTAACATATCTCCCGTACTCATCTCTTACTCTCCGTTACCTGTGAATTGACTCTCATTTTGGACATATGTACCACAGCTGACTTCAAACTCAGTGAATATCCTTATCCATCCCTCTTCCTGTAGTACCTTTGGCACCAGAATCTGTTAAGTCATTTGGTGAGAAGCCTCAATTATGTTTTATTTCCCCTCTCTTCTCCCACATCTCATCAATGTTCATTCCTCCTAAAATTCTTTTGAAACTGTTCTCAAAATCCCTGCCTCAGAGTAACCCTCAAAGTCCCTAGCTCAGATTAACCCTTCAGCATATTACCTACATTACTGTAATAATCTGCCTGTTGTCTAATTTCACAAATCTATTCTCTACAATTTTAGAAAAGTGATCCTTCTAAATAGTAAATTGGATCTTGAGACTTCCCATCTTAAGCCTACCTTTGCTGATCAGAAAAAATGCAAACCTGCATTGAATACAAAGTTTTTCATCATTTGCCCCCTGCTTTTCTCTCCAGCTTATTTCTTTTTTTTAAAAAAATTAAGATGTAGATGGGCACAGTATCTTTATTTTATTTATTTATTTCTATGTGATGCTGAAGATTGAACCCAGTGCCTCACGTGTGCAAGGCAAGCATTTTACCACTGAGCTACAACCTCAGCCCTTCCAGCCTCGTTTCTTAACATCTGTTCATCTCTTTATATTTATACCACTGCTGTTTCTTCTACTAGACTGGGAGGTTCTGGGGGGTAGAGGCGATGATGCATTCTTTATCTTTGCATGGTGGGCTCCTAGTCAAGTACAGTGCCTGGATTGTAGTAGTCAAGAAATGTTGAACTGAATGTCTCAAATCTGTGTTAAGTTTAAAAGAATACAGGTACTTCTATGAATAACCTGCCAAAAATTTTTCATTCTTGACTTTTTTCATTTTCATTATCATTTCACTATTATAAGATAGTGTTGATTTTTTTTTTAATTCTTACATAAACATCTTAAATCTTTATAGAATTTCAGGATGACTGACACTTCTGAAGCTGTTCCAAATTTTGAAGAGATGTTTGCAAATAGATTCACAGAAGATGATAAAGAGTACCAGGAATACTTGAAACGTCCTCCTGAAATGCCTCCAATTATTGAGGAATGGAATAGCAGATCTGGTGGAAACCAAAGAAATAGAGGCAATAGGTATGTATTTCTTGAGAACAAATGCAGATGTTGATTTGGAAGAGGTTAGCTTTAGTCTGTTTGATAAAGCCAATGAAGGCAGCAATCAGTGTTTTCACCATGGTTATATGTACTACCTAGTAAGTGTTTCTTGTAGACTGATATTTTCTTTGTAAATGTACTTTTAAAACTATCTTTGTGCTTAGCTGGGTACCGTGGCCTGTAATCCCAGTGGCTCAGGAAGCTTAGGCAGGAGGATCCAAGCCAGCCTTAGCAACAGTGAGGCACTAAGTAACTCAGTGAGACCCTGTCTCTAAATAAAAATACAAAATCAGGCTGGGGATGTGGCTCAGTGGTTGAGTGACCCTGGGTTCAATCCCCAGTACCAAAAAACAAACAATTTATCTTTGTACTTGATCCCATTAAAAAAGTATTATTTGATTTTATTCTAGAAAGAAGTTGGAAATTACCTCTATTTAATAGTTCAAAAATAATCAATGGCATAAATTACTATGCTGATTTTATACAATGAACAGATTTCAGTTTGATCCAGAACTGCCATATTTGGTTTGGGTTTATATTTATTTGCCTATTTCTCTGTGAAGTGTGTCCAATATGATGCTGGAAGAATGACTTAAATCTTAGGCAAGTATTGACTAATTTGTGCTATATGTTCTGTAGAGAAAAATGTTTTATACTTTATTTGCTACTGAGAATTTATATGCACTGGGATAGATTTCTTCTTCTTTTTTTTTTTTTTGTTTGATTGTTTTAATAAGGAAGTTTTAACCTTTTTGTTTTGTTGTAGGCTGCAAGATAACAGACAGTTTAGAGGTAGGGAGAGCAGACGGGGATGGCCAAGTGACAATCGATCAAATCAGTGGCATGGACGATCCTGGGGTAACAATTATCCCCCACAACACAGACAAGAACCTTACTATCCACCCCAATATGGACAATATGGTTACAACCCACGGCCTCCGTATGGTTACTATTGATAGAAATGTCAGTGAATTTTAGAAAAACCATTTACTTTGTTAACATGACAAAAGTTTGTGTGTCTTTTCTTGGTCATAGTTTCGATTCATTTAGAAAATGGATTATTATTTTTTTGGAATTTAAGATTAAAAAAATAGATCTTCCTGGATAGATGTTATTGTTGCTGGGAATAAATACTCCCCTAAAAACATTCTGGGTTATATTCCTTGCCTTCTACCTCAGATTCTTTTTTGTTTCATTACTTAATAGTGCTCTGAGTTGATGTATTTTCCTTGTTTGACCTCCAGAAATTCTGTCTTTAACACATAAATAAAAACTTCAAAATAGAAATGCTTGCTTTTACTTTGTAAGATAAAGGAATTTCCATATGCTCAGATATACTTATTTCTGAGATTCTACAGAGGGTAGTTTATCAGTTCATTAATGCACAGCTGTACTTATAATGTACTGTACATAACATCAGTTGAAAGGTAAAACAACTGTATATTTCTTTTGTTGTTTGTTATGTGCCTAGGGTACTTTGTGATTGCTTACTCTACAAGTTTGAGTTAGCTAGGGAGACTGATCTCCTAGCTCTGGAGTTGGGCATAACCCATTGGAAATTGGACAGCCCACCTCCTACCTTATTTGGCGAAGAACATTCTATGGAAAACCTTTGAATTTCCCCCATTTTTTTTAGTTGTTGATAGACCTTTATTTATTTGCTTATTTATATGTGGTGCTGGGAATCAGACACAGTGCCTCACATGTACGAGGCAAATGCTCTACCTCTGAGCTACAACTCCAGCCCCTTGATATTTTTTTTAAGAGGGAAATCAAGAATAAGCTGTAAAATGAGGAAAAACTCCTTCTCAGTTCAGTGTCTTGATCTTTTTGGTGGATGGGATTAGGGCACACATCATTTTATACAAACTTTTAAAGCTTTTTGCTAACTTAAAACCTAGCAGGGAAAAAATTTGCATGTTATACAAAAGTTTATAATCCTTTGAAGATAATGCTACGTTTTAACTGTTTTGGTATTTGACTTGGGTTGATTTTACAGTATTTTATTCATTTCTAGATGCATACTTTTGCTGCTTCCTCTTCTATAAATATAGTGATATTGTCATTTCCTTTCAGAGAATTCATTCTACTTCATATAATTTTAATAAGTTTTATTGAAAACAAAAATTTTAAAAAGATTTAAGCAACTTCACTCCCAAATTTTGGCAGTTAGTCTATTTATTGATTTGGTAAGTTGATCTATTTGGATTTTATTACTCAGTCCTTCATATCTGATTAAAGAGCTTCAGAGGAATATTACGAGTATAAGTTTCAGGGCTGGGGTTGTGGCTTAGTGGTAGAGCGCTTGCCTGGCAAGTGCAGGACCCTGGGTTTGATCCTCAGCACCACATAAAAATAAATAAGTGAAATAAAGGTATAATTAAAAAATAAATATTTTTTTAAGTATAAGTTTCATCATAGATCAAAGGAATTAAAAGTGAACTTCCTAAATCTACTTTTTCTTTTAGCACCCCACTCTAGGGTTCTTGAGATTGACTTCCCCAGGTACTTCTCCATGCTCTAGATCCATTTCTCCACCTCTGACCCTTTTCCTGAAGAGTCATCTTTTCTTCAGGTAACTGTTTTATTGGAAAGGATGCACCTAATTAAATATTCACATAGAAATGTAAATAAATTTATTTTAAAGAGAGAATTTTTTAATATTTTAATTTTTTAGTTTTCGGTGGACAAAACATCTTTATTTTATTTTTATGTGGTGCTGAGGATCGAACCCAGTGCCCCATGCATGCCAGGCGAGCGCACTACCACTTGAGCCACATCCCTAGCCCAGAAATGTAAATAAATTTTTAACCTGAGGTTTTTACTATACCCTTCTGTAATCATATTAATAGACAACAGGCCAGTGGTGTTACATAAACATGGATCTTGATACTACAAATGTTTAGCCTAGAGAGTAAAAAATGGCCTGACTTCATCTCAGTATCTTCTGAAAGTAGGAAGATTATTAAAAATATCTATCAACTAATGAAACACGGGCACTGACCAGTTGAGACAGTAGCTGATTATGGCATTAGAACAGGATCCTGTGCTGTGCCAACTGTGGGAAACCACCCTTGAGCTATTTGAGCATCTTCAATCGGCCTTGAGCCAAGGAGATTTAGATTTGACATTGCAATCTGTTTTGTGGCTTCTTCCACTCAATGGATTGTGCAATGCACTGGCCTCTGTCTTCACATGGCTAGGGAGACTGATCTCCTAGCTCTGGAGTTGGGCATAACCCATTGGAAATTGGATAGCCCACCTCCTACCTTATTTGGCGAAGAACATTCTATGGAAAACCTTTGAAGTTTCCCCCATATGATAAAGCAAACACAGGCTCTAGCCCTCTCTATTTCCAGTGTGGAAGCTCGACCCTTAAGGTTGAAGAGCTGTCCTGCCCTGCCCTTGCTTTCTAAAATTACCTTTTGTGTTTTGTGTGGGTTTTTTTGTTTTTGTTTTTTGGGTTTTTTGCTGCTTTCTTTTCTTAGCCTTATTTTGTAGCCAGCTTGCATCATGCAGAGGAACCTCAAATTCCACCACCAGTACTGGATGTTGCTGAAAGCCAACTATTGACACCATTTAGGAGAGCTGTGGATTCAAGGGATAGCGCTGAGAGATGCTTCTTAAGATGCTCTGAAGAGGTTATTTTCCCATAGTATTTAAATATTTTAACATTTGGTACAGGTAGGCTGCATGTGTCTCATGAAAAAATGGAAAAAGTCCTTTTAACCTGAGTTATTTCTGCATTCTGTGTAAATAATCTATATTAGTGGTAGTTTTTGTTTTTAGCAGTCATTATCCACCTGCCCCCTGGTGTGCTTAAAACAAGATAGAAATAAAAGGCATGGTTATTGCTTCAGAAAACAACATGAAAAAATAACATAATTTAAGAGTAAGAACAAAAAGTTAAAATCATGTTAAATAGAATTCTTGAGAAAGTTTGTTGTATCACATACTGCATTCAATTTAAGGAGTCCTGGCTTCAAATCCTGTGCTTGCAAAGGTACCTGACCTTGAGACACTCAACTCTTGTGACTATTTGCTCACTTGGGAAAATGGGGACAATATATACTTGCCCCCTTACAGAGTTATAAAAATAAATAACCAACTGTAGAATAGGAATAACTTGAGAATAGGAACTAGAATTGTGACCTTTAAACCCCAAGGGCACATAATAGGCCTAATGTAAACATTTGTTGAATCAACCAGTGAAGACTGTGATGTGCAGTGTTGATATGAAGTTGTAAAGTAACTGATAGAAGATGAGGTAGAGAAGGAGACACTGAGAATTAAGAAGTTATGGTGGTTTCCCTATGTGAACTCATATGTGAGTAGACAACAAAAGAAGAACTTGAGGAAATAACATGCACTTTGAATGTGGAAGAAAGTCAATAAGAAAGTTGAGCTAAAATTAGTAGCATTTGCTGTTTGGAAATTGGCACTGACTTAAAAATGTCAAATGTTGATTATTGAACCTATCAGATTAATGTCATTTTGAAAACAGCTTGCTGGGGACTTGTCTATTTTTGTATTTTGTTTTTCAGTGGTAGAAGGATTTGGGATATAGGAAGAATAACAACCTTGAGTCACTGCTTTGAGAATAGTTTTTAGTTTCTTGAAACTATGTAGGAAAAAAATATCTGGGAAGATTTCTAGCGTGGTTTTGGTTTCCAAAGTTGCATTCCTTATAATGCTCACAGATCAGGATATAATTTTTCCTTTTGTATTTTATCTGCCTAAGGAAAAATATAGGACTTTATAATAGAATAAATAGTGACGAAATGTCAGTCAGTCCCGTCTCCCCTTCCCCCAAGAAGAGTCTCCAGCTGGGGTTGTGGCTCAGTGGTAGAGCACGTGCCTAGCATGTGTGAGGCATTGGGTTTGCTCCTCAGCACCACATAAAAATAAAGGTATTGTTTCTATCTGTAATTAAAAACAATAGTTTTTAAAAAGCAAGGTGTCATGTCAATTTAACTTTAGAATGCTAAAATGGAAGGAAGTGATCTTTCACTATAAAAATTACTGTCAGGACTAATTTTGAACTCTAAGAAAAGCAATGCATGTTATTCCTAAATACATTTTTTTAATACCTTAAACATTTCCTACTTTCTATTTCACTGATTGATTAAACCTCTGTTATTACAGTGACACAATACCGGAAATAATCAAGAAGGAAATGTTTATTTTGGCTGTCTCCTTGGCCCTGTATGTTTTTGAGTCTATAGCAGAGCAGTACATGATGGCAGAGGAGGCCTGGTCATGTTATGGTGGTTTGGAAGTGAAAGAGAGAGGAAAGGGCTTGAGTTCAAATATTGCCTTCAAGGGCATGCTGCTAATGACATAACTTTCTCACTTGACCCCATCTCTTAAAGTTTCTATTCTCTCAGTGACATCATAGGCTGGGAGCCAATCCTTTCACATAGGTGCCTTTGGGAGGCATTCAAGATCCAAACTCTATCTGGGCATAGTAGTACAGACCTGTAAGCCCAAAAACTTAGGAGGCTGAGGCAGGCGGACCCCAGGTTTGAGACTAGCCTGAGCAACTTAGCAAGGCCCTGTCTCAAAAAAACAAAACAAAAAGACAATAGGGGGGGGCGGGGGGGGGCCAGGCTGGGTGTGTATCTCAGTAATAGGACACTTCTAAGTTCAACTCTCAGTAGCCCCCCAACATAACACACAAAGATCTAAACTATAGCAGAACCCAAACACAAGATTTGGCTACATATGAAAAATATGCTGTAATTTATAGTGATGCCCTAGCACAGTTAGTAGTGAAAAAAAATAATTAGGAAATAATATTCCCAGGTCGAGGTGGTTTATATTACCATTGTATTGTTAACTGGAAATCATTACTAATGAAAGCAGTTCGGTAATGACAAAGAGGTGTTGTATATGAATTATTCCCTGAAAAGTCTGTTTGGATTTTTTTTGTCCTATATTTTGATCAAGGAATGAATGGATAGTTGTTTATTTCACATGGGGACTTTAAAACTAAATTGAGTTTCCTTATGAGACTCCTAATTATGTAGGTCACTCAAAGAATTCTTCCTTTTTATAAACTTAGAAAGGTTATGCTTTTAAGATGTTCAAGTTTTTAATTTAGAATAAATTAAGACCAATAGGATTCATACATAGCTGTGTGTGTGACATTCTGTGATATCTAAACAAAGATTTCTCCTGGATCCTGCCATATTAAATTATTGTGGAATTGAATCAACAACTAGATCCAATTAGAAGATTATACCATTGGACTCCAGGGAAACCTTGAGAGTAAATATTTCATCCTT